TTATGTAGTGTGTTGTAACGTGTGTGAGTCAGACTGAGTCTAAGAGTTGATGCCCATAATCAGTCATGAGATATTATGTATTGGCTAGACTGAGTCGGAGGGTTGGTGCCCAGAATCAGTCAAGTACTATTATTTATTGACTTGAATGAGCCGTGAGGACAGGTTGTCTAGAATCCGGCAAATGTGAATGATTTTTGCTGTGTTTGAATGATATCCGGGGTGGTACAGAGTACTTTAGTGTAACAACTATGTCAGAGGATTCTGAATGAGGTCCCAGACTTCACTGATTGGTCGGGTCAGGTAGACTACGAGATCAGGTGGTGAGAAGTCGATGGGGGATGACTGGTGACGCGCTCGGAGGGGTACTCCAGTATGAGTGATGAAAGACGCCAATAATCCTACTCTGTGTGGAGGGTGATCAGAATGGTACTGCGGGTGCCGATCACAATGTGCCCACAAATGATAGTCTCTGAGTTCGGGCATAGTTAGGGTATACTTCCAGAATGTGTCTTAGTGTGTTGATAATTTCGTAATTGATCATAATATATAATTATTACTTCTATATCTGTTTTATTATATCGAATGATTTAATACTTACCCCTATTTTTCCATGTGGATGAGACTGCGATGATCACTTATATGTGGGAGCAGATCAAGAGTTGAGAGATGGAGATGTGACTACTGGACAACAGGGATAGTTTAGTGGAATAGCTTCGAGGGAGTTACTTTTACATGTATAATATATAAATAAATTATGTTACTATATTTTGAAGTTCCGTTAGTGAATCGGAATTTCAATCTATGTTACAATTACAGTAATATAATGTTAAATAAATGTTGTTATTTACTTGTTTACTACTTTACGAAAACATCATTATAGTAGCGATTTATAGGGTCGTTACATCTACTATATAAGTTAAAATTACATTAAAATAGTTTCATTCATACAATACATGAAAAAATATAATTTTAAAGAGATAAAAATTAAAAAAAAATACAAATTCTATATCTAACCATCTAATGGGGCATGGGACATATAATAGACATAAATTAATAATTAAAATTCAAAAGAAATAAAAAAACAAAAAAACAACGTAAACCAAGAAATAGAGTATAAAAATGAAATAGAACACTAATATGAAAAAAAAACATCAAAACAAAAATAGAGGAAAATCGAAATAGAACACTAAAATGGAACACAAAGCATGAAATATAGATGAAAATGCAGTAGAATAGTTTGCACATTGCATGTGAAGGAAAACGATGTAACACACTTTACGTAGAGGAGAACAAATTGGATCATGACATCCAGAGGAGACTAAAGAATAATACATTACATGGAGGAGACGTTCATGTGTGCACCCACATCAATGGAATCAAATCAATAAGTATTGACGATGGTGAATGAAATACGGAAGAAGACATTCTATTTGCGAGTTAGTCTGTATTTAACCGAATCAACTCTAAATTAGTACAAGTTTACTTAAAAATGGATTTATAGATGAGTTAACTTGTGAGTACTCACTTGACTCGTAAACTCATTTGAATTAAAAAAGTATACGTGCAACTTTGTATTTTCCTTAAAAATTCAAATTCTCATATATCATAAAATGATTTTATTATTTATAGCCAATAGATTTTGAAAATTCAAATAAAATAAATTCAAACTAAGAGAGGAAAATTCAAATTTAAAATAAATCTTTGCTCCAAATTTTTTTTACCATGAGATTATAAGGGTAATGTGTTTAATGCTCGATCATGTTTCCATTGTTGATCACAATATTCATAGAAAAATATTTATTTTGATTGGTTTCTTATAACTAATTTTTTTATTCCGCCTCCACGACTGTGAGTTCAATTAAGGCCCATGTATACTCTTCCTTAACTTCTACTTTTTGTCAAATTGTAACTCCTTTAGTGTGGCTGGATATTAATTCTAAACCAAGACGTAACATATACCCTAATTACACAATTAAACCTAGATTACATGAAAAATAAATTAATTCATGATTACCAAGAAATATAAAATAAAGAAATATCTTTTAAACAATAATATTCTTTTATTTATCATGCTCCTTATTACTCTTTTTGTAATTGTATATTTATCTTTATTCATGCATTTCTCATCACTTAAATTCTACATAGTATAAATCAATTAACTTCCATAACTTAAATATACTCATTAACTTTATTAAATTTAATATTAATAATATCAATTAATTTATATTAGATTATCATATCACTTAAAAATATTTAAAATAACTTAACTATAAAAAAAGGAAGCAATTAAAATATTGGATCAATTATTAAAATTAAATGCTAATCCTTCCTAAGGCTAAGGGTATAATCTCGTGAGTTGAAGTGTTAGTAGTATTAGAGTTGGACATTTCATATATATAAAATTATGTTAAATTGAATGAACATCTTAAGTTTATCGCAAAAAATTTGAAGGTTGAACTTGAAGTTTCACTTTGAATTATAAATGCATAAAGGACACCTCAAATTGGAGGAGCATCTTAAAGTTAAACAACAAATCTAAAACTAAATATCAAGTGATAGCAAGTTATAATTTTTACATAATTTAATTTAAGTTGATCCAAACTTATATTACAAAAAAAACATTAATAACCAAAACTTGTTGAAAATCATGCATTTATAACTAAGTATAAAATTATGAATTTTCTACAACATAATAACCAAATACCAAAACCCAAGAAAACATACATAACCCGATGCAAAAACTTGTAATTTTATTACAACTTTATATTTGATTATTAATCCCAAATCAACATATCACATTTGACAAATTCCAATAATACACAAGAATTTGTGACATCATCATTTACTATTATTACATTTTTATTATATGAAAAATCTTTAATAATCTCAGTTTACAAGGTATTACTTTAACTAAAACCGGACTTAGTCAAATGATCAATATTCTACCTAACAAAATAACAAAATAAAAAACAAAACAAAACATGGACATAACTCCCATTCAAACTTTATTTTTCATTTTACTTCTATTATTCACATTCTAATATCACAAAATCAAATCTTAAATCTTGGACTTATTCATAACAAACAATCCATAATACTTTCACTTCAACTTTGAGTATTCTAACCAAACTAATTCAATACAATTATAAATATTTTTCTAAAGTCAAGTTCGCGTTCCATCTAACTCAAAATTCCAAACAAAATTCCAACCAACCAAATCAATTTAAATCTTTTAACTTAAAGTAAATTTTTAAAACTGAGGTACCTTCCCTTACTTTATAAAACCCTGGTCTCGAATGAATTTAAATGCAAGTTCAGGATGCTCTATTTTACTAAAAAAAGCCCGATTTTAAAAAAATATATAACTTTTGAATCTTAAATTAATAGAGATTTATCTTCTAGTGTCATAAATCACATGAGCCAAAAAACATCTCAAGAAAAAAGAAGATAACAAAATTTATCTAAATCAAAATTTTTAATCTGACATTATTATTATACTTTTCACTGCCTTTTAACTAATATGTTTGTTTGTTTGTTTTTTAATGCTAAAGACAAGAGAGAAGTTTGAGGTTTTTAGAAAACATTAGAAGAAAAAATTATAGAAAAATAATTATTTTCTAATAATAAAAAATAAATCATTTAATTTTTCTATTTATATACTTTTAAAATTTAACTAAAATTTAATTCTTTATTATATTAAATTTTACTTTTTAAGATTTCTAAAATTCTATCTTAAAATAATAATTAAATTAATTATACATTTTTAAATTAAATTCATATTTATTATAGTTGATAGAATAACCAAGTTTAAAGAATTTAATTACATTTATACAAATAATTAAATTTCTCAATGTTTACAATATATTTTAAAAAATAGTGATTAACTTAATAATATGTATTCCAAAATCCGTTTTATAAATATTTTTATATTCAACCCAAACAAATATAATTAACTGAATTATATTTGTTGAATTATAAAAATTACAAATTCGTTAAAAATTAAACAAAATATTCAAATATAGATATAAATATATATAATTTTATTATATATATATATATATATATATATGTATTAAGTTTCGTTTAAATAATTTTTTACAGACACATACAAAAAAGAACAAGTAAATAAATTTAAATAATAAGCTAAAGTTACTTATATAAGTTAAAATAATTTGTTTGACAAATTAAAAGTAGACTATTTTATTATTATTAAAAAAAATAATTATAATTTGTGAAACTTATTTTTCTCTTATTTTTTAAACATGTGTTAATAAAAAGTGCTAAACCTGATAATATAGTGAAACTAGTAAGTAAAGAAATTACAAGAAAGTATGGTCAAATCAATTTATAAGATAAGTTCGTGTACTAAAAAGAAAGTATAGTCAAATCAATTTATAAAATAGTCAAATTTATTTTTAAGTTTCTGAAATAATTTATCAACTACATTTTTTATAAATGTTTATGAAATATTTATCCTAACAAAATTTTAATATATGTTTATAAATTATTAATATTGTGAATGAATTTTCAAGTACTTATGAGTTATACTGAAATGATTTGTCAAATACACTCCTATACATGTTTATGAAAAAAATTCCTACAAACTTTTAATAATTATTTATTTATTATTAATTATGTGAATGGATATTTAAGAAAAAATGATGATTATAATTATTTATTGATTATTAATTTTGTGAATGAAAAAGTCATGATTTACAAAATTAAGCGAAAAAGGAGTTTAAGGAATGTAATTACCACTGCGCCACCGATCAAAAAAAGAGGCTTACCTTGTTGATTTCTCTCTCTCATACAATAGAATTCCAGAGAGAGAGAGAGAGAGAGGACTAATTCAACCATCAGTGATACACTGTCTGTTACACCTGGTCGTAGTTCTAGTGAGAGAAAGAGAGAGAGAGAAAAAGAAAGAGAGAAGAATACCAAAACAGAAAACCGCATGCAAAAACTAATGGCGAGTTTTAGGGTTTTGTGAACCTACTGCGATGGAAATGCCTGCAAGAAGATCCAACTACTCGCTCCTCAGCCAAATTCCCGACGACCAGTTCTCCGGCGCCTCCGCACCGTCATCCTCCGGCGACGGCAAGACCGGCCGTGCTGGAAAGTCGGACCGCGTCTTCGACTGGGACCTCGTCGCCGATCACAGGGCGGCTCAGCAGGGGGCCAACCGGATCGGAAACTTGTACTCCTCGATCGGCCTTCAGAGGCAGTCTAGTGGGAGTAGCTACGGCGAGAGCTCGCTCTCCGGCGGCGGCGACTTCTACGCTCCGACGCTGTCCACGGCGGCGGCCAGTGACGTTGAGGCCTTCGGCTACCTCCACGACGAGCGGAGCAAGTTCTCCGAGGCGCCGGCGAGGATCGCCGGTTCCTCCGGCAAGAGCTGGGCGCAGCAGACGGAGGAGAGCTACCAGCTGCAGCTCGCGCTCGCGTTGCGTCTCTCGTCGGATGCCACGTGCGCGGATGATCCTAATTTCCTCGATCCGATGCCAGACGATGGGACCTTGCGGCCCTCGTCGTCGGCGGAGGCGGTTTCGCATAGGTTTTGGGTACGTTTATCCTCGTGCCTCTGTGTTTTCATGGCTTGATTGTGGTTGCGAATTCCGGTGATGGATTTCACGTGAGGTGTTGTTGAATACTGTAAAGTTGTGAGTGGGCGTAGGTCTAGTTTGACTCTGATAAACCTTATGAGTGCATGAACGTAACAAGAGGTGAAGCTGCAGTGGTTTTATAATCGATGTGATTCTTCTGTAAATTTTTGAATTTATATTGTGTAGGTTTTGTAGTCTGCTTCAACTGGAGGATCTATCAAATTGTGGTTGATGGTTGCAAACTTTTAGAAGTTCATTCAGATGCTGGTCCTTTGCTATGAGTGATTGGAGGAGTTGTAAAATTGTAGTTTGAATGGAATGGGAGGGAATTGCATTAGTACAAAACTGTTGGGATTTAGATGGTAGGGAACGAAAAGTTAGTTACTGAATGTTAGAATAAATTAGTCAGTAATAGGAATTGGTTAGAAGATATAAGCCGGGGGTAATTAAGGGGAAAGAAGGATATATCTTGTATCAGCTTATGCTGATCCCTTTGAGCAAAGATGTCTCTCCTATTTTCTCTTCTTTTCACTCCATTTAATTCCCAATAAAAATCCTCTTACAAAGTTATGTTTTGTTTGTCTGAAAGGACAGAGTTGGATTTTGAATTACAGTGCTGAAGTGTAATGGGTAGGCTCCTTTCTGCTTTTCTTTTCTACACCTCCCCTCTGGCATCTACTCCTTGGGGAAACTGTTTGGCAATTGCTATGAATTCTGGGCTGGGTATCTTCTTACTGTGTGCCTTCGCTATTGTTCCTTCTCGAGTTATTTTTCTTGTTGCACTGCATAAAAATTCAATATTGAAAAATATAATGTTTTAAGGAGCTTCAGAATGTTAAATTATATTTTGGCACTATTGCTGGGGAACAGAGGGTACTTGGTCCTTCTCGAGGAAATTGCCACCAAGTTGTAATATTGTAATTTCTCAGAGATGAAGTTGAAATATGAATCTTGAGTTGTTGTATGAATTAAGTTTAAGAAAACAAAAATCCTTCAATTCTTTATTCTACTTCAAGTTTCCTTTTAAAAACTTTCTATAGTTTTTTGTATATAATCGATGGAGGAAACTGGAATTTTTCATTTTGATAGACTTTTGCACTTATTAGTATTTGGTAGACATACAATTGTTGATTTTGTCTTGTTAATAACATGCACCAGGTGAATGGCTGCCTGTCATACTCTGATAAAATTCCAGATGGCTTTTACTTAATTCATGGGATGGATTCCTTTGTCTGGACCGTGTGCACTGATCTGCAAGAAAATGGCCGAATTCCATCTGTTGATATGCTGAAGTCTGTGAATTCTTCTGTTGTTTCTTCACTTGAAGTAGTTTTGGTAGATCGGCGGGGTGATCCCAGCTTAAGAGATCTGCAAAATAGAGCTCATAACATTTCTTGTAGCAGCATAACAACATCAGATGTTGTAGATCAGCTTTCGAAGCTGGTTTGCAACCGTATGGGGTGAGCCTCCTTGACATTCATGACTTGACCTATTTGACATTTTGTCTGGTCATGCCAGTCTAATTGTGTTTTATTGATGTAACAAGGGGTTCAGCTTCTGTTGGGGAAGATAACCTTGTTTCCATCTGGAGGGATTGCAGTAATGATCTTAAAGATTGCTTAGGATCTGTTGTTATTCCTATAGGTAGTCTATCTGTTGGCCTCTGCAGGCATCGTGCTATATTATTCAAAGTAAGGCTCTACTTTTCTTTGGGGATTGAGGCTTTAATTGTGCATGTTGACTTTTTTGGTTTGCTGCTTTGGTGCATGCAACTGTATTTAAGTTGTTTTATAAATTACTTGGTTTTATATTCAATATTTTCAGGTACTAGCTGATGCCATTGATTTACCATGTCGAATTGCAAAGGGCTGTAAATATTGCAAAAGGGATGATGCCGCATCTTGTCTTGTCCGATTTGGGCTTGAGAGGTATGTGCTTTATTTCCAAACAATATTTTGCTGTTTATAATTAAAACTGCAATGCAAAACTTAGTTTCCTTGAGTTATGATAACCGTGGAAAGGACATTATTTAAGTGGTTAATATTCTGTGACTATTATGTAAATCAACATTTTAAATATATGTTTCTTAATAGTAATATTCCTGACACCTCTCATCTGACATAATCTAAATACAGGGAATATCTTGTTGATTTAATCGGAAAGCCGGGGCACTTCTCGGAGCCTGATTCATTGCTCAATGGTCCATCTTCCATCTCATTTTCTTCACCCTTGCGCTTTCCACGACTTAAACCAGCTGAACCTACCATTGATTTCAGGTCACTGGCCAAACAGTATTTCTCGGACTGTCTGTCTCTTGAGCTTGTCTTTGACAACAGTTCTGCAGGTTATATTCATATTTCTTATTACTTTATGATATGGGAATGCGATATTGTTGTTTTCACATCTTGAAAGATCTGTTAATGGCCTAATGTTGCAATTATTAATACTTTTAGATGTAGGTTTCCCTGATCTTTTCCTTTTTAATATCCATTTTTTAATTAATCATTAAATCATTTGCTTTAAGCTAGTTACTCTGTGATAGGGTTGAGTGCCTAGACCAGGACTAAGGCCAGTTATTGGACTTGGACCCAAAGAGGCCCTAGGATTTGGAAGCTTTATGTTAGGGAAACCACTAGACCTGGTTATCTGAGTTGGAAGAGTTAGTAGTGTACTGGCATAGAACCATAGCTCCCGGAGAGGGGAAAGGTTATAGGGAGGAGAGAGTGATGAGTTAGGTCTTATTTGTTTACTGTTTTTAAATACAACTTTTTAGTTTTTAAAAACTAATAACTTGTTTGGTAATTGTTATGTGAAAACAGTTTTTGTTTTTTAATTTTTAAAAACTAAAATTGATAAAATGTGTTTTCTGTTTTTGTCAATGGAATGTGCACTTTTACTGGTGTTGCACTAAAGCACTGGCTTCTGTTGTCCTGAAATTGTTGAAGTTATCCTCCAACTTCTGTCAGCTCTTTGTTATAGTTGGTTTCATCCTTTTTCATCTATAACAATTTTCAAATTACAATTTTCAAATTACAATTATCAAACAGATATTTTTTTCCAACTTATTCTCAAAAACAGTTCTTCAAAATTGATTTCTAAAACTGTTTTTAAAATCTTAAAAACAAAATTAAATCAAACAAGCCCTTAGTTTTTGCACTTAATTTTGGCTTTAATTGTAAGTGGGGAAGATATCTTCTCTGAGGAGCAGCATTCTGCTATGGATTAGTTTTTTCGTGTGTGCCTGCAATAGCTGATTAAGCTGGTTTTAGATAATTATTAAACTATCAGTTTCTGGTGTTAAATCTGCTATTCGTACCATACTCTGTTGTTAATTTGCTTAAATACCCATGTATTAGTGTGTTAAAGCTCTCTCTTATTTGAATTGAATTCTATCCATTCGATGTTTTAATCGGTTTATAAGCACAAGAGATTTAGATGACCAGTGTCAGCATATTTTTGTCTCTTTCATATGTTTACTACAATGAGTTGACAATTTTTTTTTCCCTAAACTTGTAAATTGCCAGAATGTGGTTGTCTACTAGGAAAAAGCATCATGATTTTTCACTATGATGTTTGTGCTATATGATGTTACTTTTAAGTTGTGTTCGGTATTGTAGAATTGGGAGGACAGTTCATGTTACTTGGTCAAGTCTGTTGAATATCATTATGAAATTCTTGATTAGGGTTAACATAATTCAGTCTGTCTGCAGGATGAAATTTGAGTGACTATATACTTAATGTTTGGTAAATTTGCGATTTAATCAACATCTGGAAATAGTGCCAAAACGCATGCTCTTTGATTAAAATGTTCATGCTGCATGTTGGACATTAGTTGCAGTTTTGCTTGTCATAGTGTAATGTGGTATATGCACTTATGTTTGTATTATAGTTTAAATTTTAACTAGGTGCTAGTATAAAACACCTTATATTTTATACCACGAGTTTTTGCTGATGGAAGTTCTGGATTCTCTATTTCAGAACAGTTTGATGGGAAGTTCAAAGACAGGAATAACCCCAGGGCAATTGCAACAGACAGCAATAGAGGTTCTCATTCTCCTCTCCCTCCCCAAGATTCTCATCCAAGCACACGGGAACAAGGTTCTGAAGCATATCTAACATGTAACGATCCTCCGAACCTTGCAGACTCAACAGTGGGAAAGTTTCCTCCACCAATAAAGCATAAGCATCCTGTTGGTATACCAACCCCATTAGCGCTTACAAATACTAGTGATGACATGATTGAGGGAAAGAGGTTTGTTGAAGGAAGTCAACTGATTCCTAGCAAACCTACTCGAGACCTTATGCTTGACATGGAGGATTTGGATATTCCATGGAGTGATCTTGTTTTAAGAGAGAAAATAGGGTCAGGTATATCTCCTTCTTTATAACTCACAAATTTCTGTTTTTTAAAAAAACTTGGGGCCAAATTTTGACATACTATTGGAGAGATAAAAGACAATATAAATTGAAGTGGATATTGCCCTTAGTAATTATAGTATAAAAGAAGAAAACAACAAAAGGAAGCCAGCTCATTTGTGCAATCCGCCAATCCATACGCACTTTTGATTAAGGACTTCTTGTATAGATCACTAAATAATAAAACAATTCAAAATATCTCATCAAATCACATACCACACAAACACATTTTTTCCTTGCTTCTACCAAACCAAGTTTATCATCAATATCTTATCCTAACTAAAAGAGCACAGTATTTAATGAATTAGTAACTTGCTTCTTCTAGTGGCATGATTTGGGTAATTAATATCGGTAGTCATTAGATTGAAAGTCACCTGTTGTATTTCAGGTTCTTTTGGAACTGTACATCGTGCTGAATGGAATGGCTCGGTAAACCAATATCTCTCTCTCAAATTGATGATGTATAAATTGGCCAGCATGTGGTTGTTTGAATTGTTCCTGTTAAAATTTTAGGAAATGTATGAAAAACTGCATAGAGAGAGTAATAAGATGTTGAATAGTTGATATATTGTTAGATGAAA